CCTGCAAGTGTGGAGCCCAGACTCAGAGAGCCTGGCCTCATAGTCCAGCTGTGTGACCTTGGGCAAGTTACCTAACCTCTCTGGTTTCTGTTCCTGTGTCTGTGAATCGAGATGGTAAACATCCCACCTGCTTCGTAGGATTGCTGTTAACTGACACAGACGTTAAAATCCTTAGAATAGTGCCTGGCAACCGGGCTTAACATATGTTCGTCGTTAGTTATCTTTTGGGAATTTTTATTACGCAAAACATCATCAGGGGCCGGGTAAGAATCTTAACTGAAGTCAGAATTCTAGGAGGTCAAACTGACTCCTCCACCCTCACTCCCTCCAGACCTCTTTTTTTCTGTAATTGTATCTTTTCTCCTGCTTTTATCTGGAACAAAGGAAGAAATACAAGATGGAAGGAGCCGTGAGAGTGACAGGAAAGAGGGTTTGTTTGTTTGTTTGTTTGTTTTTGCCAATTCTGCCCCTTCGTTCCTCTCATGAGAGGGTGGTCAGGTGGACAAATATACTGACGTAGGAACTGGAATGTGAGTCTCAGCCTTGCCATTTATGAGCAGTATGACCTTGTTCGAGTTACTCTACTTCCCTGAGCTTCAGTTTGTTCATCTGTAAAATGGGAGAAAATGGAACCAGCTTCACAGGACTGACGGGAAATCGTTACCCTGGGATGGAGACCCAGGCGGCCTTCAGCTCGAGAGCAGCACAGCAGTGAATGTGCTCTTAGCTCTCCTCTTGTGGGCCGGGGTGGGTTTGTTTGGCTTGGATTATTGGGCTCTAGATAATAATGAGTTTATTTAATTTGAGAAAGTTTGCCCCAGCCACATCCCCACCTCCAGTGAGGTCTGTGTCCATGCCCACATCCCCACTGACACGGAGCATTGCCTGCTGAGACATCATGGTCCCAAATCATAGAGCTTCCTGTGCACTCAGCAGTGAGTCACCCAGTCTCCCAGTGCGACCAGTCAAACAGGTGCACTGGTTTCATCTTCAAGCCTCTGGGAATTAGCTGCTGTGGAAACTCTCTTCAAAAGATCGGTCAAGTTTCCTGTTCCTGCGTCTGTGATTTGCCATCCTTCGATATTCTCCCGTTGTCATCGCTGTCTTTCTTGGGAATTTCCAGAAGTCGCCTGTGCATTGTAGGGATGCAGCTGACCCTCCGAGGATGCAGGTTTGATCTGAGCAAGTCCACGTCTACAATACTGCCAAACATAGTTTCTCTTCCTTATGAATTTCTCAGCAACATTTCTGCAGCTTACTCTATTGTAAGAGAACAGTATATAATACATATAACATACAAAGCATGGGTCAATCAACTGTTCACGTTATCCGTAAGGGTTCCGGTCAACAGTGGGCTATTAGTAGTTAACTTTGGGGGGAGTCAAAAGTTGTACATGGATATTCAACTGTGCAGAGGAGTCGGGACCCCAACCGCCACATGGTCCAAGGGTCGACTATAGTCACACGTCAGTTTCAGCTATGACAAATACTTTGCTCCCATCTGTCATCCAAGAATTTGTCCCTGGTGTCCTTGCATGCAACAGACATCCTGTTTTGATGTGAGATAATGGAGATTCCAGCTTGTCAGGATGCTTCTCAACTGAGGGGCCCCCCGAATGGAACGGAACATTCCAAATGTGGTCTGAGCCACGTAGTGAGAGTCGGTGGGCCTGGATCTGAAATCGAAATGCAGAACGCCTTGCCCTCGGTCCACGTTTTGCGCCAACTTGCTGTTTTCCATCCGCAATTTCAGACTCTTGAGACCGTTCAATTTTGATGCTGAAACTGCTCAGCGTTGTGGCACCACCAAACATCCATAATCAAACACACCGCGTTTCGGTTGATACCTCCGGTAGGTCGAGTTGAAGGAGAGGCATAGTCCACTCTGTGTCCTGTAGACACCGTACAGTGTAGGACGACTGTCCGCCTACTTGCCGTGTGCGCTTTGTCCTCACCCTCTCTGAGTGTCCTCTCTATCCAGGGTGACAAGGACCATGACACACACCTGTCATCAGGCTGCCGTGAGCGGCCAGTGCGTTATTACCTGGAAAGCGGTGAGAACAGTGCCTGGGGCACGGGAAAGGCACGATATGAATGTCTGCTCTGATGGTTAGCATTATGGTAGTACGACTTCTGCTGTTTAAGGAATATTGAATGGAGTTGCAAAGACTTGAAATCACTTGTCCCCAATCACATGCCAGTGACAGCAGAGTCACATGCTCCTTCCTCGGACCTCGCGGCTCATGCCACTTCCATCCCGAGATGTCCAGGGGAGCTGAAATCTGCCTGTCTACCTGGCCTTCCCTGGGCTTCGTGTTTGGCATCTAAGGGCGCAGAGGACCACGGCCACCTCTGCTCCCCGTGACAGGCACTCACCCGTTGGAAGAGAGTGCTCATGGACCCCGGACCCAAAGGATCTCTTCTCCGAGCTCACCAGCCCCTCCCTGTGGCCAAAGAGAAGCCCCTGGTTTTCCACGAGCAGGCTCATCCTCCCTCAGTCTCAGTCAACACACACAGGGGCTCAAGCCAAAAATCTAACCCTCCTCGGTCCCTCACCGCTCCCCTTGCCCGCCATATCCTGTCCTGTGGGCTCTAGTCATACGACCGACCCCACCGCTGCCTGTTCTGCTCGCTCCGTGCTGGGCCAGCCCTCCCCACCTTCCCCTGCACCCCTGCAGCATCTCTGCCCTGCTCTCTCTGCTTCCCCCATCTCCCCTGCAATCCACTGGCACTCAGTAGTAAGACTGAGCATTGTACTTATTATTATTATTTTTAAGATTTACTTATTTGAGAGAGAGAGTTTGCATACATGGGGGAGGGGGAGGGGCAGGCTCCCCGCTGAAAACGGAGCCAGTCACGGGGCTTGGTCGCCGGACCCTGAGATCATGACCTGAGCGGAAATCAAAAGTCAGATGCTTAACCAACTGAGCCACCCAAGCGCCCTTATTTATTATTATTTTTAAAATATGTTTATTGAGCTCTTTATGTTCTCTCTACCGATATCTTTATGCTTTAGTAAGATGCTCTCATATAGGGTTTTGAGACCACCTGTTTGCTTTCAATAGGCTCTACGCCCAATGTGGGGCTTGAAATCACGACCCTGAGATCGAGGTTCACATGCTCTCCTGACAGAGCCAGCCAGGCGCCCCAAGACTGAGCATTCCAAATGTGGTCTGAGCCACGTAGATGTGTTTAAAGGTCAGACAGAGCATACTGTTACCCTTCCTAAAACCCGCCAGTGGTTTCCCATTTTCCTTAGAATTCAACCCAAACCATTTGGCCAACGATGATCCAATGATCTGACCCCTGCCTTTGTCATCAGCCTCGTCTCCCTCCTCTTTTCCCCTTGTCACCTCGCGCTGGCAACACCACACCTGGCTTCTCCCAATTCCCTAAACATGCCTCGGGGCCACTGTACTTGCTTTTCCCTCTGCCTGGAACTCAGCCTCAGAATGGACTTTCCTCCTCCACGGTCAGTGCTCTGCTCAGATGTTACCTTTTCAGAGGCTTCCCGTGACCATGTGGCTGAAAACTGTCACACTGGGCACCATAACTCTCCATCCCTGGACCACACTGTGTGTTCTCTATCATTCATTAGTACTCGGTATGTATTACTACTTCTCCGTATCTGTCTCCTCTCTAGGATGCACAACCCCTACAAGAGAAGAGACCACCTGTGATTTGCCCCAGGTATGCTTCGCACAGCCGGGGACCTGGTGGCGGGCAGGACAGTTCTCTCCCCACCCATGATTCCGTTCGGGCATCCCCGGAACCTGTGGCTGTGTTAGGCTACATGGCCCGGGGGAATTAAGGTCGCAGACAGAATTAGAGTTGCTAATAAACTGGCCCTAATATAGGAAGATTATCTGGGATTATCCAGGTGAGCCCAATATAATCACAAAGATCCTTTGAAGTGGAAGAGGGAAGCAGAAGAGAGAGAGTCAGAGAGACCTGAGGTGGGAAGGAGTCTGTCCCCCCTGAAGACGGAGGGGCCATGAGCCGAGGAACAGGGGCAGCCGCAGGAAGCTCTAAGTGGCAAGGGAATGCACTCTCCTGGAGAGCCCCCAGAATGGACCGTGGCCCTGATTTTAGCCTGAAGGCTCCCATGTCAGGCTTCTGACCTCTGGCACTGTAAGATAATAAATATGTGTTGTTTAAGCCTCTGAGATTGTGGGAATTCGTCACAGCAGCTATGGGAAATGCAGCGCTCCTCTTTGCTGGATGCATCACGAATAAATGAGTCAACAGGATCTGATGTCCCTCTACCAACTGGTCCCTGTCATTCCCCCGGCTGTGTCCCGGGGGGTGGCGCCCAGGGTTGCATCTGGCGGAGCCGGGCAGCAGCCCCGCCGCTCCTTCCAGCTCCTCTTTTGCTCCAGTGGAGCCTCCAGTCGGATTAAAGGCAGGACACCACACTTGTCGCATACGGAGCTCGAGGTAGATCGGAAGGCTTCCCGGGGTGTTCACGTGCCGCTCCAACCTGTGTGTCCCAGCAGCTTCCATGCCTTTGGTCATGTGGCTGCTGGTTGCCTTCATCTCAATGAGGCCCTGCTTTTCTGGTTTTCTGTGTTTTTAACGCCATCCTGGAAACATCCCTGGGATGTTAACTTTCTCAGTCCCGTCACTGTATCATCCCACCAGCTCCACGCGACCTCCTTAGGTGTTTCCCTGTCCCCACTTTATAGGTGAAGGAACTGAAGTGTCACTTGCTTATCACTAATCCACCTTTGGCCCCTCTTCAAGGACGCTCTCTACACCCTCGCTGAGGGCTGGCTGTCTCTGTGCAGTCTTGTGTTCAGAGCATCACACAGCCATTACCAGCCCCCCTCCACCCACCCGCCACCGGATGCAACCCAGTTGCTGAGAAATGAGGATGTGAAGCCATGTGCAGAGATGGGGGGGGGGCCAGAACTCTGGCTGCCTAGCTCTGCCCACTGGGCCCCCCGATTCTTAAAACAACATCACAAACCACAGCCACAAAACACAAGACAGCTACTCACCACCTCTGGTCTCGTGCTCAGCCCTTGGCGTGTCTGGGAGAGCTTCTGAGCTCATGGCCGCTTAGGAGCATAATTCGAGCCACATCATGCCTGTGGGCTTCCCACTGGCTGGACTCCCAGTCCTCCCTCCACAGTAGGGCTGGTCTCTCAAAAGCTTCCCTGAAGCCGCTTGGCCTTTTCGGTGATTTTTGCCCCGCCTCTTTGTCCAGTCCGCCCGTCAGATTCCCGTGGCCTCTTTCGAGCTCCTTCCTGATTTAACTGCAATCCCCCTCCTTGCACGGGGTGAGAAGTTAATTTCCTTAACGACTAACTATTTCCCCATCCTAACCAGGGTTTCGCAACCTGGGCACTCTTGCCTTTTAATGATAATTCTGTGCATTTCGGGATGTTTCGTAGCATGCCCCGCCCCTTGCCCACTTGAAGCCAGGAGCACCCTTGTACCCCCATCCCCCACCCCCTCGTGACAACAACAAAAATGTCTCTGGGCATTGCTGAATGTCTCCAGAGGGGCAAAATCAACCCAGGGGTGTTTTAACCTTCGTGCCTCTGTTCCAGTTGGACTGAGTGATCTGTATTATTCTCCCCTAGACTGAAAATCCATGCCTCTGTATCACCCATTCTCAAGTTGTGGTTTTCCAAAGAAGAATGATTGTGATTGTGTTGATCAAGAGGTCAATTTCCATTACAGTAGAGATTAGTCAGCGTTCTCCAGAAAAACGAAACCAATAAGATGTGTGCTGGCTCATATGTTTTGTGGAGGCACAAGTCCAAAATCTGCAGGGCAGACCAGCAGGCTGCAGACCCAGAGAAGAGTTGCAGGCCAAGTCCAAAGGCTGTCTGCTGCTGAGTTCCTTCTTGCTCAGAGGAGGTCAGTCTTTTTCCTCTGAAAGCCTTCAACTGATTAGATGAGGCCCACCTGCATTGTGGAGGCATCTGTTTTACTCCAGGTCTACTGATTTAAATGTTCATCTCACCCAGAAAACACCTTCACGGAAACATCCAGGACAATGTGTGACCACATAACTGGGCACTGTGGCCCAGCTAAGTTGGTGCATAAAATTAATCATCACAAGCGGCAAGGATGAATTAATTTATGGCAAAGAAAGGGAGGATGCACTTGAACTCATCTGGAAGGTGGGGCCAGACTTCCAGACTTCCACGATCACTGTCTGAAATGTTAATGGTATGGTGGCCACACTGGGGCCATCAGTGGTTCTCAACCCTGGCCGTTACCATCACCCAGGGAGGCTTGAAAGAATAACAATGTCAGAATCACCCTCGAAGAGCCAGATCCATTTAGTTTGTGGTGAGGCTCAGGCGTGGATGCATTGCTAGCAATCCTCAGATGTTCCTAATGTTTGGCCAAGGTTGAGAGCCCTGGGAAGAATGAATGTCTGATGCTCCCCCCAGGAGGGACCAACAGAGATGAGCACAGGCTTTGCAGGGAGGTGGGCTGGGCTTGAGTCCCGCTTCCCTCCAAGCAAGTTATGTGATGCTGCAATGGCCATCCTAAGACTGTTGGTCAATTAAGAAGATGCTTGGAAAGCACTTAGTCCAGTCCCTGGGAGGAAGGAAACAGAACATATGTCATACATCAATTTATGCTTGCTCCCACCACTCAGTGTGGTATTAACAACCTGGGTGTCTCTTCTCTGTCATTTTCATTTAAGTTCCTCTTAAAATATAGTCACAGTTATGCTTGATCTAACACGTGCTGAGCTTTGAGACAGACACTGTGCTAAAAGTCAGTATTATCTTATCCTCACAATTACCCAGGAAGGAAGAGTCGATGATGGGCCCAGGCTACCAGAGAGGAAACTGAGGCACGCAGAGGTTGGGTGGCTTGCCCAAGAACGTTGCTGACAGTCTTGGATTTATCTGACTCTGAAGGTTAACGTTTTTAAAAAATTTTGCTTCCAGTAGACCGAAATCAGGATTATAGCCACCAAAAAAGAGGAGGCAAAACATGTCAGAATTCCCAGGTGTCCCCATCATGTGCTTAGAGAACCTAAGAAAATAGAAATTAAAATGAGTATGGGAGCAGAGTCATTAGTTATTTAACAAAGACTTTTGTTTAAAAAAACAAAGTCATTTAGCAAAAATTTTGGTGCATATCCAAAATTCAGTCATGTTCCTGGTGAACAGCAACAGGAAGCAGAAATCATACTTAAAAACAAAGACCTCATTCAGGACAGCAACAAAAACCATGAACTACATGGGAATAAATTTAGCAAGAGAGGTGAGGCAGGTTAATGAACACAACCACCACCAAACTTTATTGAGGGATATTAGAGAAGATTTGACCTTTGGAGAGGTGGTCTGTGCACATGGTAGATATTGTAAAAATGTTGATTCTTTTCAAATTAGTTTTAGGTTAAAACGATTTTCTTTTTTCAAGTAAAAAAGAAATTGAAACAATTCAAGAATTTCCAAGTGCAATGCAGAGTGCCTTCTGAGTTCATAGCAACTTCCAGTATCTCTGAAGAAAAGAGTCGGCTCTTCTGAGCACTTGGGTCACTTCTAGACTTCATTTCAGATTTGGTCACCTATGGCCATGAGACTCTTTTTGTTTGGCTGTTCCTGGACACACTCAGATCCAAACTAATTTATTAAACTTTTATTTTATTTAATTATATTTAATATTTAATTAATAATTTAATAAAATAAATTTATTTTAAAAATTGCTTTACAGTTTTAAAAATCTTAAATTGTGAAACATATCATAGGTTTAGAAATATTACACACACACACACACACACACACACACACACACACACAGTTTAACAAATAATTAAATGAATATCCATGTAACCACCTAGGGTGGACAGACTCTTAAGGTGGGCCCATGATCTGGCTTTCATGTTCTTGTGTGATCCCTCCCCTTCAGTGTGGATAGAACCCGTGACCTTCTTCTAGACATAGAGAATATAACAAAAGTGAGGGAGTGTATGTGATTGCATGTGTGTGATTATGTTATGTAAGATGGTAACATCCATAACATGCGGAGTTGGCCATATGGCTGAGAACTGGGGGCAGCCCTCAGTCCACAGCCAGCAAGACACTAAGGGCCCTCAGCCCAGCAGCTTATAGGAAACTGAGTGTTGTCAATAATCACGTGAGCTAGGGAGCAGATCTTTCTCCAGTAGAGCCTCGGATGAGACCACAGCCCCAACCAACACCTTGATTATAGCCCAGCAGAGAACACAGCTAAGACTCCAGACCTGCAGAAATCATTTGATCATTCCTATGCTTTTCTTTGTAGATTTACCATCTATGTAAGTATCACTAAGTAGGATATGTTTGGCAAGCACACACCTAACTCTGTAATAATAATAAAGACATGGTCAATGAGGTAATTTTTCACATGACAAAGTAACTTCGAAACTGATCTTGAAGAATACATAGAAAGATACAAAGTAATGACAAAATATCTTGAAAAAGAAATTAAAAAATAGATCCTTTTGTTAGATATTAGAAGATATTGTAAGGCTAATGTAAGCCTGCTGTAAGAACGGATTGTGGTGTAGGTAATATTGCAGCATATATACCGGCATACACGTATTTTTTCACAGATGTCTATACCAGTCACCATTCAGATCCAGATGAAGAGCACTCCCACCATTCCAGATGCCCTTTCCCAGTCAATAACCCCTCCCCTCACCCCAGGTAGCCATTATTCTCTCAACACAGATTAGCTTAGTCTGTTCTCAAATTTCATATAAAGGGAACCATGTTGTATTCACTCTTTTGTGTCTAGTTTCTGCTGCTTCACAACATGTTGACAAGATGAATTCCAAGTTGTTAACTGGAAGGGTAATTGGTTCACTTTTATTGCTGAATGTGGACAAATGATAATGTGTTCCCCCATTCTTCTGTTGACGGGCATCCAGACTGAACTCAGCTTGAGGCTCTTTTGACTAGCACTGCTCAAATGTTCTTATCCCTGTCTTGTGCTCTCTTGCACATACTTGGGTATGGGATCAATGGGCCACCGAGGAGGTTTGTGTCTAATTCCAGGAGACACTGCCACACGGTGGTAATCCATATTTTTATAAGGCGTTTTGATGCAAGTGGTCTTGGACCACACGTTGAGAAACCCTACTTAGGTAAAGCCCTATTATGTGAGCAAACACATTCCCTTGAGTTGACCCTTTCTTGGGGTATAACTGGGGACAAGCTTGCTTACAGTGAGGTACCAGCTAAGTGATTTGGGGAAGTGGGGGGTGGGGAATGGGAAATTAAATTTATACCATCTCTTAGCACCTCTTTGGAACAAATCTTTGCAGTGCACTATATGTTTGCCCAACAGAAAGAAGCTGAGAACTGGGAAGCTTTGATGGGGGTGGGAAGGTGAGAATCCAGGTCACTGTGCCCCATCATCCAAGCTCTCTCTCACCCCAACCATGAGCTAGAGTAATGTCCAGTTATTTGCTAGAAAAGAGGGACCTGCTTGGGACCTTGGGTTGTTTGTATGGGGAGGGACTGTCCCTTCCAGTCACCTGAAACTCATTGCAAAGCCATTTCCCCCATGCTCTTAATGCTGGAGGAGGCTTGCAGGAAGCACGAGAGATGGCATTCCTCCTGCCGTGCCCAGCAAGTCTGACAGCAAAAGCCAGTTATAGAAAAACCATCCCTTTCAGCCGACTCTGGCCATTTTGCCCACAGACCCAGCCAACTTCTCTGAGGTCAGAAGACCAGGAAACAGGGCTTCCTGCTGGCAACTGGGCAGAGGTGAGGGAAGGAGGGCCTGCCTGTTGTGTTGGCCGATGCTCTGCTTCCGGGGTCTCTCTGCCAGGAGCCACTTCTCCTTCCAGATTCCAGTGATCTCAGCAGGCTGGCTCAGCCTCGGCCCAGCCACGATCTCAAGCTGCTCTCTGCTGTTCTCAGCTGAGCATTGCAACCAGGGGCCACCGGCACCAGACACAAGAGCAGGTCCCCAGAAATGGGAGACGGCTTCCACCTGGAGGCAGGCAGGAGGAGGGACAGGTGGGTGTTAAAGGAGCCAGGCTCTGAGCAGGGAAGGTGGGCTCTAATCCCCACCCGGCTGGGCCCCGTGTCCCTCCCTGGGGCCCCACAGCTCCCTGAGTGTCCTCTAGCAAAACGCTACTTGTTTACACTCTCCCCCACTCCTCTAGAAACCCAGTGAAACAAGACCAACAGTGTCCATCTTACCTCAAAGCTGAGTATATCCCCGAAGCGGAATGTGTTGCCTCGTACCTGACAGATGATCAATGAGTATTTCGCTGAATACATGAGCGAGTCAAGACTTGAGTGGACTTTGAACAAATGAAGAAGTCAATTATCTCATTCACCCT